AATGCCCACCACCAAGCAAGAGAAATAAATTGACAACAAAAGTTTTCATCGAAGAATTTAAAGACAGTCTTTGACAGTCACATATCAACAAAAGATCTATTTGTCATAGGCGATGTGAACTTGCATTTTGACAGTGAAAATGAGACATACGAGATGTCGCTGAAAAATGCGCTAAAGGATCGCAACTTAGACCAACTGATAAATGTTCCGACACACGTCAAAGGCCATACTCTTGACTGGATTGTTACAAATGCAAGTGAGCTTATAGCCAAACTCAATGTCTCAGACCGCGGCTTGTCAGATCATTTTCTTGTACACTTTGAAATGCGCCTATCAAAAGCAAAAAAGCCAAAAAAAAACGTGACTTCCCGTAAACTTAAAGCCATAGATATTGCCTCCTTCAAAATGGACGTGACCTCTTTGCTGTTGCAACAGAGCAACACAGACGTTCTCAGCAATTACAATTCTTGCTTGAAAAAGTTGCTGGACAGCCATGCACCTCTTGTCACTCGCAGTCTCAGTTAGGCCATCTGCACCCTGGTTGACGGAAGACATAAAGACTGCCAAACTTATTCGCCTACGTGCCGAACGTACATTTCAAAAGACAGGTCTGACGATACATCGACAAATATACATACTAGAAAAAAACAAGGTTAACCGTATGATTAGAGACGCAAAAGCTAGTCATATTCGACAAAAAATCGGAACTTCTGATTCTTCAAAGGAGCTATTTAGGATCACCTCTGAAATGTTAGGGGGAGCAAATAACGAACGTTTGCCGTCATCTATCCCAGTATCTGAACTTCCTGATTCCTTCAATAGATTCTTCATTAGGAAGATTGAGCAGATTACAAATGACATGCCATCCCTCTCATCACAGCTTGACCACTCTCCAATTTTTCAAAATACTCCTTTTTGCGAATTTCATCGTGTATCTGAAGATTATGTCAAAAGTATTATTCTAAAGATGCCAAATAAGTCATGTGACCTTGATCCCATTCCAACCTCCTTGCTCCTTGAATGTTTAGATGAGCTTGTACCTACAATTACTAACATTGTGAACTCTTCACTGACTTCAGGCATTGTACCAAAGCAATTTAAGCATGCACTTGTCAAGCCCTTATTAAAGAAATCCAGTCTTGACCCGGAATGTCAAAAAAACTATCGCCCGGTATCAAATCTTCCCTTCCTGTCAAAGCTTCTGGATCGCATCGTGTTAGCGCAAATTCTTTCTCATCTTGAACGGTACTGTCTCTTGGAAGAATTTCAATCTGCATATAGGAAGTGCCGTAGCACAGAGACAGCAGTGGTCAGGGTACTAAACGACTTACTTCACAATTCCGACAAAGGCCACATATCAATTCTTTCCATGCTGGACTTGTCCACAGCCTTTGATTCGCTAGACCATGAAATTATGATGGCCAGATTCTCTGCAACTTTTGGTTTAGCAGGAGTCGTCCTAAAGTGGCTTGGATCCTACCTGACGGAACGCACCCAAAGTGTCGGAATCAACAAGCTTACTTTTGAAGTACGGAGTACCCCAAGGATCAGTTCTAGGCCCAGTGCTGTTCACTATGTACACATATTCACTCAGCGGTGTCATACGGCCAAACGGTATCTTATACCATTTCTTTACCGATGACTCACAGTTATACGACTCATCAGTACCCTCAGAGATGTCGCCTTTGGCAGAGAAAATCAGTAGTACCGTTGCAAGGGTGAGCGATTGGATGGTTGAAAATAAACTCAAGATGAACGAAGACAAGACAGAAATAATTAAGATTGGCACTAGGAACAATGTCTCAAAAGTTGAAAGCACAGATTCTCTCTTTATCACGAACTGCCATGTTCCTTTTGTCCATGTAGTGCGGAATCTTTGAGTTTTCTTCGACTCAACACTATCTTTCGACCCACACATAAGTCAGCTCTGCAAAGGTCTTTATCTGCAGCTGCGCAGATTAGGCCAGATCCGACCATATTTAACAACGGAGTCAACAAAAACGCTAGCTGTGGCATTCATACTCTCCCGCCTTGACTACTGCAACGACGTGCTAGCAGGTATACTCGATGACAAAATAGCCAAGCTGCAACGTATTCAGAACAACGCCGCACGAATAGTCCTTAAAAAAAAATAGACAAGATTCTGCTACTACGCTCTTGGCACGCTCCATTGGCTTCCCGTGAAAGCGAGAATCGATTACAAGGTCGCCACACTTTGTCATCAGTGTATATATAACAACGAGATGCCCTTGTACCTTAGAGAACTGATTACTCCATATTATTTTATGTCCCCCAGAGAGCACTGCGCTCAATGGACTCAACGCTTTTAGTAGTGCCACGTTTCTCCCTCAAAAGCTACGGTCTGTGGGCTTTTTCAGTTCACGGACCAAAGGTTTGGAACTCACTCCCCATTGATCTCAGACAGACAACATGCTACACCACTTTTAAGAAGAACATTAAGACCTATCTGTTTAAAACTTTTTTAGATTAGTTTGTCATGTTAGCTCTTGTGTTGGTGTTTGTAATGTTGTTACAGCGCCTTGAGCCTACATTTTGTTTGTTAACAGCGCTTTATAAATAAAATTATTATTATTATTATTAATTATTATTATTATTATTAAAAATCTCAAATATATCTATGAGTAGACCTACTACACACCTCTCCGCCACCCTCTTTATCTAATAAAACGTATACAGATCACAAAAGTACACAGCTCACAAAAGTACGCAGTACACAAAAGTACACAGTACTCAAAATTACACAGTACTCAAAAGTACGCAGTAAGCAAAAGTATTCAGTAAGCAAAAGAATTCAGTATACGAAAGTACACAACGCACAAAAGTACCTAAAAACTCAAAATTGCACAGTACACAAAAGTACCTAAAAACTCAAAATTGCACAGTACACAAAAGTACATAAAACGAAAAGTACACAGTACACAAAAGTACATAAAACTTAAAAAAGTAAGCAGTATACAAAATAACAAAACTCTGGTGTCGTAGTCTGATCTAGACTGTAACTTTATATTCTTTTTTAAAAAATGTAATTTTAAAATTGGTAGAGAAGTTTCTCTCATAAATGAACTTGTATAAGTTCCTCCATCGTGGTTTGATGATTACCACTTTTGTCCTCCAGGGGGGCTGAGGGCTTTGCACTGGGGTTTTGTGCCTCCTCATGTGGCTGGTGAGACCTATGTGAGCCCGGACTTCTAAATCAACTACTAAAGATCTAGATGCAAAAGTGGCATGGGGGGAGATGAGGTTGAAGAATTCTAAAATGTTAATCATAGGGCTAGAGAAGGCTTATGACGATACCTCTTAACAGTAGGTTTGAACCACCTCGCCTCTCCTCCCCGAAAAAATAGGACTAACAAAAAAAAACAAACAATTCCTCCCCCCCCCCCCACCCGTAAAAAAAAAGAAAACACAAACATGTATGAGTTGAATAGAGGTATTGTAATAATATGTTTGACCTTTGTTCTCAAGTCTTTGACCCATATCCCCAGAAGAGCAGCAGATGTGCGTGCAATTAATTTTCAGAGTGCAGTGTTGACATGAATTTGTTTTGTGGTGAATTTTTTTTTTTAGTAGTAGAAAATCATTATCCAATATATTTTAAATAATAAATAAATAAATAATACTAATAAAAAAAATAGCTTGCCGGACGCAGAGGACGCGTTGCTATCTTTTCGTTCGTCTTGAGCTCAAATCCCACTACAAACATCAAGGACTCAGCATGACCTTGGGTGGGGAGCCATGATAAATCGGAGCTTTGAAATATCTAACCAAGTCAACAAGGAGCGGGAATGGCGACTCAGGTCAATTTACTTTTCTAAGGAGAAAAAAGTTGATCGCTTATTGTAGTTATATTCCATGTTGAAAATGTTAAGTTCCACCTTCAGATCTTGCGATCTATCGTGATGTTAACGTCACTGGTCACCTGTTTCTTTTGGGCAACTCTTAACGAGCAGGGTGTCATTTGGCCAGCACAATGACCAACCGCCTTTACTTTCCCCAACTAAAATCAGGTATCTATTAGGGTTGGGTGGACTCATTGGCGTTAACCGTAGGCCACAGAAACAGATGACCTTTACATCATCTGTCCTATAGACCACAAGGTTTGAAAGGGGAACCAATATAATAATCCAAGCTTCTCACCTTGCCAGGGCCGGATTTACCAATAGGCAATACAAGCTATAGTTTTGGGCTCCCAAGAAATATTTAGCACTTGCCTATAATATCTAGACTTATAAAGCCCCCCCCCCCCCCCCACTTTATCTCATCTTAGGGCTATTTGAAGCCTAAATATGTCACTTCATATTGCTTGCATAGCCGCAAAGGAACTTGTTGCGTCGGGGCCCCACTGAAAGATAATCTCTGGGACCTTTAGAGGCGAGTTTGCCTCACTCGCCACCACTGCATGCATGATGACATTTTCTTTGACACTCTCAACCTTCCATTTTTCTGGGAAAAGAGGGGGGGGGGGGGAAGGCTCGTGTTCTTGAATCACCGTGTTAGGCCACAGTGTACGATGGAATGCCAACTGTCTCTGACGTCTAAATGTCTTTTCAATCAGCGTTGGTGTCAAGAAATTTAAAGACTTTTGAAAAACAACAAAACATGCATCCTCAGTGGAATGAAAGTACACGCAGTGGATGTTGTTACTGCCTGGGTCATTGGCCTCAGGGGATGTTGTTACTGCCTGGGTCATTGGCCTCAGTGGATGTTGTTACTGCCTGGGTCATTGGCCTCAGTGGATGTTGTTACTGCCTAGGGCATTGGCCTCAGTGGATGTTGTTACTGCCTGGGGCATTGGCCTCAGTGGATGTTGTTGTTACTGCCTGGGGCATTGGCCTCAGTGGATGTTGTTGTTACTGCCTGGGGCATTGGCCTCAGTGGATGTTGTTACTGCCTGGGGCATTGGCCTCGTTGTGATGGGAAGGTCTAAATGCTAAAGATAAGAAAAACACCAGAAAAATATAAAACAAACAGCAATGGCTTTTTTTTTCATATTTTATTAGTGTAAAATTATTAGCACTAAACAAAGATGTTCATCTTAATAGATCAATAGTTCAACGAACAGTAAACAGAAACATTATTCTAATACTGCATTCAACATACTGGCTTCCGATCCAAATGTAGTTCTTTGAAAGAAACATTCTTAAGTATGCATGAAGTATATCACCACTTCTGAGGTCATTTACTCAAGACTTATTTTTCTCCATTTATTAAATCCTTTAGAATATCAGAGATTGTATTGATTCATTGAAGTTCTGCACTGTGCAACAAGGAGAATAAACTGTAGACGAGAAATACCAGGCCAGTGACCAGGGGAATAAGAGCAAATGGTCTATGTTAGTTTTTTTATTATTTTTTCTAATACAAAATTATCTTACCCTGAAATATGCAGACGACAAACACTAATGAAATGTTATTATAGACAGACAGGTTTCTCAATGACCAGTTTATGACAGTTCACGTGTTGCTAGTCAATCCTATGACACGACTGCAATATATGTTTCTAGAGTTGAAGTCTATCTTTATATGCCTAAGTTTACGAGCCTACACTAAGAACAAAGCTATAGTTTTTGTTTGGACATGGTTTTACAAACTCTGCCACTAGCCAGAGAATTCTAACTAACCAAAATTACAAACCTTCCATTAGTGGTAGCAAGTTATCAAACGGAATAGTAAGTCGTCCCAATTTTCCCAGTCAATTAGTTACATGGGCCGCTTAAGCGGGTTACAGAATAGGTTACAGTTTATAGCACAATTGAAGGGGTATTAACTTTATCAGACTAAGAACCACGACGTTACCTGTTCTTCAAGGCCAATGTGCTAATGACAAAGTCAGACTGGTTACTATATGTAAACATACATAGACTAGTCAATGAGATTGTTGCTTTATTTACTTATATCACTGTGGAGAACATAATGGTGTTTGGCGATTTCTGTGAATTGGCTGTTCAGCTAATAAAAAAACAAATACTTGTGATCAGATCTTTAGTTTTTACAGTTTCAAGAATAAAACACTATACGTAAGTTCCCTATCCATATTTCAAAACAAATAGCTACAAGTTCTTTGCATTCATTCTATTTTTATGTATCACTTCCGGGAAAATCGTGAAATAATGTGACTCACATCTGATTCTAGTCATAATCTTATAGAAAAGTAATCCAAGCTGCTCTTACAAGCCCGTGTGTGGCGTGAATCCAACATTACAAATATTAATTTTTATCTTTTTTTTTTTTTAGAGGTTAGTCATTTTAAACACTAGTACAGAGTCCAGATTTAGGTCTACACATCTAGGTCTAGAACAAAGCTTTATTTTTTAAAATAATTGGTCAAGTGTGAAAAAAATGAAACTGCTCTGCTGAAAATTTCGCGTTTGTCCTCAAGCTATCAGCATTTCGCACTGTGTGTAGTTTAATGATGAAGTGTAAACTTTGATAGTTGACCATTCCAGGGCCGGCCTTAGATAATCGGAGGCCGTAGGCGGCTGCCTAGTTTGCCTATGCCTAAGGAAGGCCCTGACCATTCTCACGTGTTTAGACTAACATGCCAGCTTCATTTATAACAAAACTGCTATTTTAAAAAAATACTTAGAATACAACTAATAAAACTATACATACATGTATAATGTAACATAGTCAAGAACAAAAGGTTAAAATACATTTGCCATTGTTTACGGTTATATCAATTTATTATATGAAAACTATTACATGGTCAGTCACTGTACGATGCAAGGAAAACAGAAGTCATAATGAACCCAATCATACATATACATATAGAAACATATGGCAAGGTGAGATTATATAGGTCAGTGATGTAGGGGTGTTGATGATACAAATATGCGAAACTAGTATTAATAATGTCAATGAGAAACATGGATTTTGAAAGAGTATGTATGTGTGTTTGTGGGTGGGGGGGGGGGGTGACTTCACTCTACAAGCCTCCAAATGATTTAGCTCGATATTGGTCACTAAATGAAATAGTGACAACTTTGTGCGTGTCTTGCTAGGTCAAATCTGTTTATTGTATCCATTGGTGATCATTATAACGCTTAGTGTTAGGTGCAAGAAGGTCCAGGAATTACTAAGTGACCAAAATAGAGTTCTTAGATGCATGGTGGACATTAACCTCGTAAACCTTTCCTTTAGTTAGTGTCAGGTCGAATATAGTTACTGCTAATATTATTGTCATTGCTGGACAGACTGGCCCAAAAAAAAAAAAAAAAAATAGGCTAGAAGGAGAAAAAAAAAAACGCAGCATGGAATGGTGGAGGATTAATGGATGATTCAGAAAATAAACAAAGGAATGAAATAACTCGGTTAGGGTCTCATGGGCACCCTGGACTACTAATAACATGCATGCAAGTCAAGAGTGTACACATGAGTTCAGTACAAGTGTCTATACACAGAACCAACAAGGGGTTGAAGTATATGTACACACATTATTGTACATTATTTACACATAAACTATACAACATAGGCCTACAACTGGATTTATTCATAGAAAGAAAGTGGATGTGAACACGCTTTTTCAGATTAGCTAAGAGTAATTCTATAACACACAGGCTACAACTTAGCTTGTGTCCCAACTGGAGACCAAGCAGGTCGTGACTTGGCCACACAATGTCATGGTAAGAGTGAAAAAAACAAAACCTCTCATTTCTCATGAATCTTCAGATTATAAAACAAGGTTTGTGTAGGCCAATAACATGAGCAATGCATTCAATACATGAACAAGCAATGAAGATACATTCGAAAGAAATTCTGTCGTCCACATTAAAAACTGTAACAAACATAACATACTGTCAGGAACATATTTACATATAAATCTAGATTCTATATTTATTTCTGCAGAACCATATATATATATATATAAGGTATATATGGTTGTGGGTCCAAACCTTTGAGATCAGTGGCTATGGAGGAAAGCAGTAATCGGTTTTACGTTGAAATGACTTGAATTTCGATCAGACAAAAGGGCGTGGTGCTTTGGCTCTTCAATATTTAGTTTATGATTAAGTCTTTTAAACCACCTATAACAGACTCAAACTACAACTAACGCAGTCATAGACTTCTTTAAGGCTGAGAGCTAATTGGGCCGCCATGATAAAATCTTCAAGGGCAGGTAATTTTAAAGAACATTTTGTATTCGAGATTCGTTCAGCTCTTTTAATGCTATCAGCGGTTCTCAACATTTTATGCTCGGCGACCCCTTTATACAATCCCCCACTCTGCCTCGACGCTTCCCCCCCCCCCAAGCAATAGAAGAATAGACAAAAACAATCCATACTTTCCATGGTGTTAGGCGACCCCTGACTAATCGTAAATCGGCCCCCAAAGGGGTCGCGAATCACAGGTTGAGAACCCATGCTATAGATCGCCACCGTTTTTAATACAGCTAGAACATCCTGGGCAGCCATGGAGAAGGCAAGGGGGAGAACAGAATCATTGGACAATTTGATTTGAATCTTAACATACAATGTAACACTGAACAATTAGAAGCGTTGTAAGAGGCTAGGTACTTAGGTTCATAGCTGTCAGGTGCCGGGGGTATTGTCTTTTCAAGGGAGACAAAACACTGATGATAAATTGGGAGTTACCGCTTCAGTTAAGCTGAACTATGATGGATGTATAGGAATGTACAGTTCTTTGGGACAATATATATATACATATATAATATATAGTATATAGTTTGTTTGTTTTTTGTGTTGTTTTTTATATGGTTTTCAGTCAGAAGAACATTGCGCTGGAGTTTAGAAAGGGAGGAAAGGACCAGAAGGTTAACAAACTAGATACAAAGTTATGTCACAGCTTAATTAAAAAGTGGGTCACTGTAATTCTGTTTGCACGGTAAATGTTTATGGACATAATTTCGACTACAGTCAAAATAAAACGCTACTGCTGACATGCTGTTCCTGGAAGTGATCTGCCAATTGAAACGTGTCGGCCTCTGCAGCAACGGAGCAGGTTGGAGAGTACTGTGTAAAATACCTGGCCTCGTCCAATGGAGCGAAGCCTTGTAGAATGGGCGGAGACTCCGGCAGACCGTGACTGGCAGGGGATGGCACGCTCGGGGGAGGGCTGATAGAGGATGTCGACTGGAGCCCGCCGTAAGGGGAGGGAACTGACACGCAGGAGGAGGTGCGCCTGATAAGAGGTCTGGCTGGGTTCTCCTTCGAACCGCATGGGGAGATAAGCCCCTCGTTGCCCAAAATGTATGTCATCGTCTGGGATGGCGTGCTTGGCAATGACGTAGGCGGGGGAAAGGAGGGCGACACTGGAGAAAGAGGGGTCAGCGGTGATGGGGGACAGGCTTGGAGGAACTGATCAGATTCTCCCATGGGGTATTCACTGAAGCTGGTTTCCTGCTCTGTTTCACTCAAGAAGTTGTAGTTTTCCAGAAAGTCATTCCCTGCCTCCACGGATTCGTCCGTCTCCAGTCTCTCGTTGATGGTGCTTTGCGATGCAGCGTCGGACATAGGGTCATTCAAGGGCTTGTAGGTCATGAAGACCTCCAGGACATCGTCACCCACGCTGGCTTGGTCAGCGGCCATCTCACTGCACTGGCTGAATCCCTGGAAGGCAGATGTTCTAGGCAACAAGTAGGGGAAATAACGGGGTGACGCTGGCATCTCAGAGCCGTTGCCTTGTGAACCTGACATGTCACCTTGTGTATCTAACTCAGGCGAGATGAACTGCTGATTGTAATGCTCTGGCAATATGGATCCATACGGAAAGGACCCAACGCCATCGGTAAAGCTTTCAGAAGGTCCCGCGAACTCGGCGACTCTGTTCTGGACCCCTGACAAATATTCCGAGCTTTTCTCTCTGGTGAACGGGTATGGACGTTTCCTGATTTCCTTCGGGGGCGTCTCCAAGGACGTGAGAGGCAAGTGTCTTAAAGCTTCAGGCTCGGCGCCATGCGTCATGGGTTCAAAGTTTGGCTTCACTTTAAGACACTGGTCGCTTCCATGGTGCTCGTCCAAATATCTCTGCAGTTGAGACACGATGAAGTTCAGCCTGAGCACTTCGTCTCTTAGACGCTGGTTTTCCTTTCTTTTATTATCTGTAATCTGTTCAACGATATGAAGTGTAAAGTTTTAAAACATTGCATGGAAGTCAAAGCCTATGGAAAGTTTATTAATAGAATTATATCCCCGGATAACAGAATGGAGCCCATCTCTCCAGCAGTGTAATCAACTTACACATAAAGAGTGAATGGGACACATCCGAGTAGAAATTACACGAGCACCCGATTAAGAAAAGGTTTGTGCAGGACCATTGTAGATATTAAATCTAATAGAAACACTACGTAAAAATCGAGATATGCCACATTGCCTAACCCAATGCTCAAATAATAATGCGCCCCCCTCCCTGAAAACAAACATGCACATCAGCCTCACTCAAACAGATATATATATATATCAAGGCCTCACTCAAACAGAATTTCTAAGAACACATACCTCTGCCTCACTCAGGCTCTTCATCTTTCTCTTTTCTCTGCACTTTTTGGCTGCCTTACGATTCTGCTCTTTCCTTCTCTCTTTCTTCCTCATCTCCTCTTCCGTCAACTGAGGAAACAGCAGCAACGTGTTAGACCTTAGGCACAACAGCTCATACTAATGCTGTTTACTGCTATCAGAACAAAACAGCCGAATCCCCCAATGTTTACTATAATCAGAACAGAACTGCTGAAGTCTTATGTTTGCCATAAAAATGTTTTTTAATACGAACGTATCTCAAAAGAAGATTATTACGTCCTACACGTATCCATGTGTCAATCTAGTCTTGCATGTTAGTGACTTAAACTCTGAGTTAGTGGCTTTATTGGCTGATTCAGGCAACCCCTTACATGCTCTAATCGCATTAGGGAAGAAAGAGCGTCCTAGCATAAGGAATTTAATATATACCAATATCTTTGTAATTGTCTAATTATTTTATAATGTTGTGCTTTTCGCATTTGTAAATTATGGTTCAGTGCCTTTTGCATAATTGCTACTTTAATTTTAGTATTCTGTCCTAGAGTGTCCAGCTTTGAGTGATTTTACTAACAGTGTTACTCTAGTCAAATGTGAATATTCATTTATTATGAGCCTCACGGCTCTTTAACGTCTGTTCTAGTTTCTTAATGTTTTCTTGAGTTGAGGAGTCCCAAACAGATGATGCATGTTCACAAAAACTTCTTTTATGAATACAGTGCTCAAGTAATTTCCTTGTCTGTATTTATACTTAGAACTCTGAAGAGCATTGTGAGGTTTGAACAGTAAGAAAGCAACTCAGTGCTACGGATTTACTTATAGGTAAATGATGCTGATAGATCTAGGCAAGTGATGCTGATAGATCTTTTAAGTTTTTAAGAATTTAAGTCATTGATTAATATGCATGACTGAATGCAGGACGCGTAGGACATAATCATCTTCTTTTTTGAAGTAACGTCTGTATTATATAAGATAAGATAAGATCTAGGCAAATGATGCTGATAGATCTTGGCAAGTGATGCTGATAGATCTAGGCAAGTGATGCTGATAGGTCTAGGCAAGTGATGCTGATAGATCTAGGTAAGTGATGCCACAGCTGCTTTTACGACTTTCTTAATAAAAAATGTAAGAACATTTACCTTGTGTAATTAAATATAAGGTTAATTTATGTATCCATTATAGATCAGTGAGTAACTACTGTAAATGGTAGTGAATGTCATGTTGTTCATTAGTAACTTGTCTGTCATAGAAAAGAGAATGTTGTTCTGTTGTTATTAAACTGTAGACTGTATGAGACTGTTTAAAAATTATTATTTTTTATATGAGATTTAAAAAAATAAAGTTGTTTTTTTTGACATATTAAAAAAAAAAAAAGATTGTGTTTGTGATTAGTTGAGTGAAATAAATTTGTTCTGTCATTAACTAGTAAACAGTAGTCTATATATTTTATAATGGGAACTTTTGGACGTAAAATGTGAGTATAATTTTAACAAATCTGAGATTTATAACTATTAAATAATATGAGATGTATTTCTTGACAATAAAAATAAGATAGTTTTAAAACAAATCACTTCACAATATGAAAATTCACTAATATGATATTTGTTTATCTTTAAATATAAGACATTTTGTTTCATTATGATATGATTTTTTTCGTCAATAAATAATATGACATTGATTAATCCTAAACAATATGATATTTACTTGTTAAATTTGAGAGACTTTGTTGTTTAATAATGATATTTGTTTTTTGTTTAACAATGATTTTTGTTTGTTCTTAAATATGAATTCAATTTGTTGTTTATTGGTATAAATCTCATTTATCATTAAATAATATGACATGTATTTGTAGGTAAAAAAGATTAGAATTAATTCTGTGTGAAGAAAAGCAATTTCTTTGATTTACATGAAATCAAGTTTTTATTAGTCAATAAAAAAAAATCTGTGTCTTTACATTGAATAAAATTTGTCATTAAAAAAATGATATATATTTGTCACTTAGCAATATGATATTGATATGTCACTAAAGAAAATGGGATTTGTCATTAAATAAAATGATATATATTTGTCTCTTAGTAATATGATATTTATTTATCATTTTAAAAAAATGAAATTTATTTGTCGTAAAATAAAATGATATTTAATTGTCACTTAGTAATATGATATTCATTTATTGTTTAAGAAAATGAAATTTATTTGTCGTAAAATAAAATTAGATCTATATATATTAGTTTCTTATTTGTCATTTATTGTTTAGAAAAATGATATTTATTTGTCGTAAACTAAAATGATATTTAATTGTCGCTTAGTAATATGATATTCATTCATTGTTTAAGAAAATGAAATTAATTTGTCGTAAAATGAAATTATATATATATATTTGTCTCCTAGTAATATGATATTCATTTATCGTTTAAGAAAATGATATTTATTTGTCGTAAAATAAAACGATATGTATGTGTCACTTAGTAATATGATATTCATTTATTGTTCAATAAAATGATATTTATTTGTCGTAAAATAAAATGATATGCATGTGTCGCTTAGTAATACGATATTCATTTTATTGCTTAAGAAAATGAAATGTATTTGTAGTTCAATAAATTATAAGCATTTGTTATTTTATTAGTAATATGAAATTTATTTATCATTTAACAATATTAGATTCGTATGTTGTTAAATATATGTATACTTATTTATCACTAAATAATATGAGATATAATCGTTGTTTCACAAAACAAGATTTCTTTTCCTAAAGTATATGAGATTTTCTTTTCATTTAATAATATACTTTTATTGGCCTTTTATATCAGTCTAATATTTTTTATGTTTTGTTTAGTTAGTGAAAAATAAAAGTTGTATCTTTATTGAATATTTTTTTCGCCCTCTAGTAATGGGAAATATATGTATTGTTAAAGAATGTGAGAGTTATTTGTCCTTTAATGAAATCATTGTTTTTTGGTCATTAAATAAGATCATAAAAGTGGTATTTTTGTTTTCAC